TGTTTAAAGGGTTAACAGACGCAGACGTCCCTCTGTTTTTCCACACTTCGTATGTATGTGTGTGCATGAGCTGCAACACAACCAATCAAATTAACAAGGTTAAAAAAAAACAGAAAATCAAAAACGAGAGATGAAAAAAAAGCTGAAGACAGATATTCTCTCATGTGTAATTTCTTTTGGGTACATAAATTACGAAGTACTCAATAAAAAATAAAGTGCAACATGCAAAACCTGCAATTAGAGAATCACAGACGGGGATGAAACAACTTCAAACTTTGACATTTGAAGTTGTACAAAGTAGGTGCTACTTTTCCTTTGCTAGCTGACTTTAGCTAACTTTGTGTTATTAGCATGTGTGCTCTGGACTAAGTTGATGATATCATATCTCTTAACTTTCACATGTATGCTCTGTTTTGTCATGCTCTATAAATCCGGTCCTTCAAATGCATCCATGAATAATGTTCAGCCTTTTAGTTCATGATTGCTGGTGGGTGGTGAGCGGGGGTCCGTTTCAGAAAGCAGGTTCTGTACTTGAACTCAGGGAAGAGAGTTTCTCTCTGTTCCCATCATATTGCTGAACTGGGTCCAGTTTAATCTGAGGATGGATTGTGAATTTGAAGACATCTACGTTGAGAAAATATATTGATAATAAATAGTTTGTTTACTGCAGTCATTGTACTAAGTCTACAGTTTTTATTTTTCAGTTGTAACTCATCAAATGGTGACGTGGGGGTCACATGGTGCCCATTTCCAAAACAAACCAAACAAAATCCAGTTGTTTTGTTATTCTTCAGAAATTTGTGTTACAATTAAAAATGTACAATAATAAGGACCCTGAACATAACACTCAGTGGGGTAGTTAACACACAGTGCAGCACATTATTTTGTGTCTTTGATAGTGATTCTGGCGAGTTTGATTCACACAACATGTCTTTATCAATACTGAGACGTTAAACTGGCAACAAAGACTAGATTGAACCCCCTACTTGAACTGACAAATATTTATTTTACCAYCAAAAAAGAACACATGGTCTTTTATTTACATTTAACATATGATTGCAACATTGGTAAAAAAAAAAAAAAAAGACTCGGGACTTGAAATTCCTAGTTTCAGACTTGGGAGTTGACTTGACTGTCTTTGCTTGAGACTTGACTCGAGACTTGGGGATAAAGACTTGAGACTTGCAAAACACTGACTTGGTCCCACCTCTGGTCCCTTGTGAGTCATCTATAAGAACTGTATGATACACAAACAGACTTTTATCTACACCAGAGGTGCCCAAAGTGGGGCCCGTGGGCCAAATTTGGCCCGCCAAGCCATTTGATTTGGCCCACTAACAGTTATCCTGGTTACTAGACTGTAATCTCCTGTTTTATGTAGAAATACTATATTTGCACTTAGTCTTTTCAAACATTGGTCCAACTGTAGGTACAAGGAGCTCTAGAGTCAGATAGTCTTAACTCGTGGTGCTCACTTTATCTTTCAATTATAAGATTAAACTTAAAATACAAGTAACTTCAAGAGACATTTATATTAGATTTAAGTCCATATCTAAATTTGCACACCTTATAAGACCACATATACTC